GAGGGTTGTTTTGGGGTGTATCCGGCATGACTTGCTTCCTGCCAAGAGGCAGGCACAGTGTTCATTCTGGTTCTAGGGCTGTTTATGGCCTTTGCCGTCTCTCACATAAGCCATGCATGTGGCAAATTTTTGCTCAGAAAGCTAAGACCACTTTTATTGTGTTTCAAAGCTTACAAAGCCCATCATTAGATGAGAGCTGTGAGGATTTTGCCAAACACTTGGTGAACGGTAATCACTGCTACTCAGTTTCTTTCACTGGAACTCGCATATATTTTAAAGCATGGGATGCTTTAGCCCAAGATATATTGTTTCATTTGTTCTTTCATCCTATGCTGAAAAATCTAAATTTTAAAAATAAGGAAATCAGGGGAAAGGAGGTTTTTATATATCAGTTAGTAGGTGGCAATTTCTAGCTTCCTTTATTTCTAAATAGCCACCTTTCAACAGGGAAATTACCTGTAACTCTTTGGTGTAGACCAAGTAGAGATGACGACACACACCTAATAATAGGCTTCCTCCTAAGAATAGAACCTCTTTTTGTGTAAAATATCTAACTAATTTGGACTGAACCTTTTGTGTGGTTATCTAATTATTCAGATAATTACTTTAATTTATCAATGGAAATACAGCTACCTGAATGGAGTTAGGTTGGGAATATAGCCCAGTGCTTTTGATTTTGTTTTATTACCTTACTCAGAGCATTGGTTTCCTCACTCTTCTATTGTTTTCTCTATACTTTCCTTCCAGGTTAATTTACTTTTATGGCCCCACATTGTACCTCTGTGTGACTAAAGTCTAAACTGTGGGTAATTTCAATTTTATCTTCTCAGACATCAATTCCATCCTTCTAAGTGTCTATCGAGCATTTCCGTCTAAATTACCCATCAAAATCTCCAACACCGCATGCCTAAAATCAAGATGATAATCGAAGCCACACTGCTTTTTGACCCTCCACCTTTTAGATTCCCCGCCCTCTATGTGGTTCCATTCTTCACCGTTCTTTCTAGCTGTGACCTCTTTCCTTCCACTTTTAAGTAAAATTCTTTAATGTTCTCTTCCATAATTCTATTCTTTCTAGTCTTTTCCATCACACTACATCCATTCTACTAAATGCTCTAGCCAAACACCTAGCAGTAATCACTGACTCTTCTCTTTTCTCTCATAACCCAAATCTAAATCCTGTCACCTGTATATAAACAGGTAGAACCAGCAATGTGATTGATGGGGCCTTGGGCAAAGTGAAAATTTGTGACCATTTATTTTTAATAAATGCTAAGAATGTCAAGACCTTGACTCTAGAGAGCGGCACTAGGGCAGAGTCATACGCAGTGGGTTAGGACACTCACTGACCAAGACTGTTCACCACATACTGATTCCCACTACAGACCTGAGTTCTCATCTCATGTTGAGAAAATCATAAGATGAAAATGCATTGACATAAATCTATCTGATTTACTTTTTCGTCAGCTTTCCTGATTACTCGACACTCACAACGTAAAGGAGGAGACGGTTGTTTTTAGCTCATAGTTGAAAAGGGTTCAGTCTGTTTTCAGGTGGCTCCAAGGCAGGAACATCATAGTGGAAACACGTGGTGGAGCAAAGCTCTTCAGTTCACGGAGGTCAGAAAGAAGAGCAGGAGAAAGGTGACAGAGAGGAAGGGGTGAAGGGTAGCCAAGATTATACCTCCATGACCCATGGAGAAATTCCCAGGAGTGTGATCTGTCAACTTCTCAAGTGGCTCTCAACCCAATGAAATTTACACAATAAGCTTAAGCAGCACACTGATCCAGCAACATAGTTTAGCGACAGAGTCCTGTGCAACACAATAGTTTTAACTAGGATCACATGGCTGTCTGGGATCTGTGGCTCACTGCCGTAGCCCCTACCCAGCTTCATGACAGAATATCAAAGTGTGTTTCACTAGCCCAGGACAAGATACAAATTCAACATCTGAAGTAAATGGTTTCCACTGAATACTGCTTGCTTTCACACCGTCTTCGTCAAAAAATTCTAAATTGCACCTCATTAAGTCAGGGACAATCTGTACAGATCATTTTCTCTACTCTTATAAAATCAGAAGCCACCCCAGTCCTTCCTGAACTGTTTAAATGGCTTCTTTCAGGTATACCCACCCCCCCTTTTGCCCTCTGAATTTATTCTCAACTAAGTAGTCTACACCACCCAGTAAAAAAATGAATTAGATTCTCTCACTCCACTCACATGCTCATGATTCTGATTTCATTTCACCCCACAGTGCAGCATTCGTTTCTCTTTGAATCTTAAATTAATATACCATAGTATCATACTGAGAAAACTACAATGTCCTCCAATCCCTGTTACACAACTCTTTCTTGTTCTACCTGCATACCTCAACAAAGCCAATTTTATAAACACTGTTTTATTTACTTCATAACACCAAATCCTTGTGATGTTTCAAGTAAAATCTTCTCTGGCTGATTAAATTCTCTACAACCTACTTCAGATCTCCAAAACAACTCCATTGGCATTTTTTTTTCTCCAAAAATCTCAATTCGCTTTAGTCATGCAAGTCTTAAATATTCTCCTTGCTCACCCATGGAGACATCCCTTGCTGTAATAAGTAGAGTGTCTCCCTGCCCTCCACCCATCCACACACGAACATCTTTGATCTTCCCAAACCTTTCTTTTACTACTCCATGTCTCACAGATTTTCCTTGTATTTTAGCATTTGTTGAACTTGGTTGGTGTGCTTTCCATGTTAACACAGTGATCTCTCTGGAATTGGTCACGTATTGTTTCACTTAATAAGTATGTTTTGGGTAGTGTCCATATCTTTTCTACTTGAATATCCATTGCAATCTGAACATGGAAAAAAGTGGTCAAGACACATTTATTTATTGACTCGTTGTAGACATGATCTTAGATCATAAATAGTTACTGATTGTTTAAAAGAAATAATATGTGTCATCAAGACAGCACTAAATATTAACCCAAAGCTGATCTCTTGAGAGTGCTACCAGGGAGGACCTTAAATTATGCAGAATAAAGAGATCATTTATGGGGTACTTGCCAAGCACTCTATGGAGAGTTTAACACAGGTTAACTCTTTTAATCCTCACGTAACCCTCTGAGTTAGACATCATTAATATTCCCATTTTAGTTAAAAGTAGCTTAAAGTTCAAAGGAACTTCAGCAAGGCACAAAGCCAGGAGGTGGAAGGATGAGTTTCTAATATAAGTAGTCTGACAGCTGAGCCGATCCACTGAACTGAGTTGTCTCGTAGTCTACATTTGTTTACTATAAAATTTTTAGGGCCTGGATCACGATCATAACCTCAGTGTAAATTTCTCTACATGCTTTGTGAGAGGCAAGTAATACATTTTTCTTTATGCCATATCAGGGAACCATGGAGGCTTTACTTCTGTCAGACATCAGATAGAAAAATAGCTGAATATTCACTCACTTTCTCAGTTATTCCCTGGTTGAAAACAGCCCTTGCCAGCCCAAGGGGACACATGGTGAGTGCATGGTGCTGTCACCACTGGGACAAGAATTTCAAGGATCTGCCAATCTTACAAATTAGCTTCAGAAAGACTTGTTTTCAATAGTTGAGTTTAAAAACATTCTAAATTACATTTACTACAGTTTGTTGAAAGCTTTTTTCTGGCCTATCTTTCTGAGTTGCAGCTTAATTTTTCACTGTCTCATTTTAATTTCTGTCTTTTTTCTAAATTTCATCCTCTCATTCATTATTCTTTGTCTCCTCTGTATTTCTGGCTTTTCTTCCTGCAGCTGGGCTTTGCTTAGAAGGGGTGGACGCAGCTGCCCAACCATTTGCACATTCTTCACTGATATGATTTTCTTGAGGTAAAACATCATTTAAGAAGTATTACTCAACAATTAAATCTTTCTGTCTTCTTCAAATTCTGAGCCTGAAAGCCTGCCAATAAGACCCTTTGCAGTTGTTTGTATTGGTTCAGATCCTTTCCTGTTATGCATTATTTTATTTGTTCTGTACTTGTTTGCCTTTTATGTTAATATTTTGTTATCATTCTAATTTCCTCTTTCTGTCTAATTTTCAGCAGTAACTTGGTACAAGTTATCTTTCTTTTTTTTTTCCTCCCTCTTTTCAGTGTATTGGGATTTATCAACTACTTTCCACTGCAGGTTTTTAAAACCACATTTTACTTCATTTTGATGGACCAAGTTTTCACAAGGCTCAAAGGCAATTTTAGAGCAAGGGATAGGACTCTTACTTAACCTGTGAAGACTCTAGCTTGTCCACTGTGCTCTTGGTTTGAACCAGGGTAAGTTTTGGTTCATATCCCTATTGTTTTGCAGTAAAATTCTAATACCTTCTAGTTTTGAAAGCTTTTTAAATTTTTCACTTGGATTAATCCACATTTGTAGTGCATAACTACATTCATCATGGGGAGTTGGTACATATACATAGCACATCTCTATTCTTTTATGTCTACCTCTCCGTCATCTCTCCCTCTCCAACCCTTCCATTCCCTTTCCAAAGATCTATTTCCCTGTAATTTTTGTCTTCTTTTATTTTACTCTTTAATCCACTTATACATACTTAGTCTTTATAAAAAAAGTATGAGATACGTTCTACAACTATCATTCACATTTTATAAATGGGAAGCTCAACTACAGGAGGGAACTTGTATAATATTGATCAGCACATTTTGCATCCAGTAAGAGGAATCATGTTTCATGTAATGGGGTTGACATCTCCCAGAGAGGAGAGATTAGTTCCCAAATCAGTTACAGAAGATCTCTATGCAGATCCACGGAAGCTAAATATTCTCAAATAAAGCCCTATAGAAGGGTACTTTTGTCCAGAACATCCAGAATATCACTTGTACAGCTTAGGAAGACCACAATGGATAGGACTCTTAGCACTACATTTTGTTGCCTGGTTACCTGAATGTCACCATCAGTCACTGATTTTTAAAGTCTGTTTCCTGAGAACTCTTCAACAGATGACACATATTCCTGCATTCTTGTCTTAGCAGATGCCAATTAATCTAAGTTAGCATCTGATTGACACCCAAGGCATCATGAACCCAAAGAGGTAGAGACCCAGAGCCACGGGCTGGTGTCCAGCTTCCTGCGGCTGAGGGACCAAGGTACCTTGGGATGGTTCTCTTCACTCCCTGGCACTTTCTGGCTCAAGAGTTGTCACAGAGCGCTGTCCTGCAAATCACTGAAGAAAAAAAAAAGTAAGGAAAAGTAATACATAGTTGTATTTGTGAAATTTCATCTGGTATTTGTGAAAATAAAACTAGGATTCATAAGTTTTAAAATAATATGTGATCTACTTTTCATCCAAAATAATGAGAGAGAATGATCATGCCCAATATTTTGACAATGTGAGAAAGTGATTCACTTATTCAACCCTCAGGAATGAAATGGCACAACGTTTGGAGTGGGAAGTGTGCAAGTATATGGCTTGACAAGGCACAATAGATATGCCTAAAGATAGGTGAACAGTTGTTGATTGTAGATCCTTTACTGAACAGTTGTTGATTGTTGACATTTCACTGTAAAGAAATACCTAGATTTTTTTTCCTGGTGTTACTGGGTTGGCCTGATAAATTACATTATCTATAAACAACGGGATACTGTGCAGCCATTGAAAATCATCTCATGCAAAATTACTTATTGAAATGAACAAATGCTGATAATATATTTGGTAATGAGCGGAGGAATAGGCTATCATCAGTACATGTAGTATATCAGTCATATAAGGAGAGATAAATATACCAAAAACATATGTGTATAAAATTGCACATGTGTATCATGTATTATTATATATAGGTACAGTATAGAAAATAATGGACTAACATTTACTTTTCTTTTTTGACTCTACAAGTTACTTATTTTTTAGCTAATAGCCTTCCCTAGTTCTTTACTAAGGGTTATTTTTTTTAATTGGATTTACATAGTCTGTGTCACAGTAATCATTTTCACATGCAAGAAAAGGATTTTGGCATTTCGATGAATGAGGTAGTATTTCATTCCCGGCATTCCTTCATTTCCAGTATTACTGTAGATCAGAAATCTCACTATGTGGCAGCACCCAGCCTGAGGTGGAGATACAGCCATTGGTCTTATGCTTAGAGTGCCTTCCAATATTTAGAAAAACATAAGCTTTTTATCGGATAAAATTTCCCATGTGATGGCTCTCTTGAAAAGTGGTAGAACTTACACAGGAGAATTTGAATTCTCAACCAGCTATTAAGAGCTGGAGGTGAGCAGCAGGTGTCCTAAATAAATGGGCATATATCGTGGTTTCCAACATCCCTTATTTTACCTTATTTTGAGACAGATTCCTTAAATAAATTTAAAGACAGTTTTGTTTTCTATCCTCTTGTGTATCATCTCAATTTTCACCATATTTAAAGGGAAGGATGAAGGAACTAATAAATGAGTACCCTTTTTATCATATCAAGTAACATCACACAAATGACAATGACTCTCAAAATTCAGAGCTTATTTCTACTTTAACCTCCCCAAAAGATGGAGAAGAGATGGGGTAGGTAAAAGCTGAAGAAAAGCATTTGTCAGAGGAACATATGTAAAATTAAGAAAATTGATCCTTTAAGGATTGATATTGAAAGATTTCTTTTTCTTTTTTTTTTTGTTTATAGCTTTACCAAAGCCCACACAAAATTACTTCATTCCTGCCCAAACAGCCAATATTTTTTGAGTTTCTGTTTCACAGTAATTGAGCCTTTTTCCAGCTGCCTCTAGGAATAGTAGCAAAAAAAAAAAAAAAAAAAAAAAAAAAAAAAAAAAAAAAAAAAAAAAAAAAAAAAAAAAAAAAAAAAAAAAAAAAAAAAGAAAAGAAAAAGCAAGAAACATTAAAAGGAAACTACCTTTGCAAATTTATGGCACATAAAGAAAAAGCAGAAAATCAGATTGTCTGGGAATATAAAAAGAGGCAGTGATGCTCTGGCCTGTTAGGACATGAGGCATCAACGAGTGTGCAATTAAAAAATGAAACTTGTGAGAAGGTGTCGCGGGAGAATAAAAGCCTATATTACAGCACTCCTGAGAGTCTAGTCTCAGACCGCTGAACCATCTGTCAAGAGATTACAGCGAGGGAAATTTCTGCAAGCATTCTCCCCTGGGGCCAGATGAGGTGCCAAGGAAAGGTACTCCAGTCTCCAGAGTGCTTCAGCAGACAGAGAGGGGACCGCCAACCCACCAGTCCTCAGGGAAGAGGAAAGGAGCACAGGAGGGTCTCTGGGTCCGTCTGGCCCAGGGAAAGGAGGCCTCATTGAAAAGTTTCTGAAAACAAAATCCCTTCTAAGGTAAGTTAAGCTTGTAGCGTTGAAGTTTATGATTTTCCATAATTCAATGATAAAAAAGTAATGTATTGGACTTTTCCTATTAAGAGAACCAGTAATGTTGATCTTGAGTCAGATTGCAGATGATAAAATTTAAAAATTCTCAAAGAAGACTGTCACTTAAAAATGTTTAATTTTTAGAACTTGTGAAAACACTCAAGACACAATTAAGATAAAATGTTGTGGTGTTATGTTATTTTCACTATTTCTTCAAAGTAGATGCTGCTTGTAAAGTAATCATGATACAGTAATGAGTATTTGCCTCTAGAGAATTAAGTTCACTCCATGCTGTGAAATAATTAAAAATCATACAACCGTGAAAGTTGGAGTTAATAATAAGAAGACTCATTTCAAAAAGTTCCTACAATCATGTCAAGAAAAGACACATAGTGATTCCAAATAGATCTTAGTTCATATTATCTACTTATGGTTCCTAGTATTTGTATTTTTAAATCATATAAGTATTTTTCATTTTTCTGTGATATTGACTTTAGTCTTTAGAATGAAAAATTGTCCATTAGAAAGGAAAACAAAACATCACAGAAGCATCTTCTTGACTACTAGATGAATATTTTGCGTTTTTTTCTTTCAGTGTCTTTAAGGCAACAAAAAAGACAGTACTAGTTATTGAAGTGTATGAAAATAGACATGTAGAAAGTATGTCTCATGCTAATTTAGCAAATATTTTTCAAACAATAATATTTATAAAAATTTGTTAATACGAAATTAGGGGTAAAGCATTCTTTAATTCAATTTTAATTTTGTTTATTTTAGTTGACATTATCTGTCATTATCATGGACATTCACGTGTGCATTCATCATGGACAAAACGATGCTTTGAAATATATATATTTGAATAGTGAACTTTGATAATTAACAAAAGTATGGATATATCGCATTAACTACTGTCACCGAGCTGCACAACAGGTCTCTTGAAGTTACTCCTCCTCCTAATTGAAGTTATATTTTGTCTTGATCAAAGAAGAGATTTACTGTTTAACTCTTTGGTCACTTAGAGAAATAGGAATGAACAAACATAAATATAAATTCTAAACACAGGTAAAAATCATTTTATCTTTTGGAAAAAGACACAAAGTCACACAATACGGCGAGGTGTGAGTCCGAAGGATCACAGGTTGCAGTGTACACACCGGCACTGTGCCTGTATCAGAATACTGTGCCTGCATTTGGATAGAAATTTTCTTGTAAACTGAAGTCAAGTTAGCCTAGACAACTAATTTCAATCATTGACCCTTGCTTCCTTCCTCTCGTGTAAATGAGCAGTTTTGCCTGAATTATCAGGATATTGTTTACATTCCACTTTCTATTTCATCATTTTATTTATTCTTCCATTTCTTGTTCATTCAGCCAGTGCTGAGCGCATGATAACCACATTGGGGCCAGAGCTAATGAGTGGATAGAACCCAAGCTAATGAATGGACAAGACTCCTGCTTTCAGGGGGCTTGCTCTCTGCTGCGTCACACACAGTCTTCTCCTTTTAGGTTTAAAGTCATCTAAAATTAAAATGTAAATCTTATTTCATCAACATGAATTTAAGGCTGATGGAAATTAAATGAGAGTGGTAGGACACACCTGTGTTACCATTATAATTCAAGACCTTTGAGTACATTCGTTTTATTTATACTTCTGTGTTTAAGATTAATGGGGAAATACAGGACAAATTCTTGAGACTTGAGCTATAAAAATATTTTCAGATATAGCCCAAAAAGCACAATATAAAACAAAGTTGATAAATTAAACTTCAAATAAATAAATAAAATTAATGGGAACTGAAATGAGGATTATTTACTCTGCTCTAGGGTTCTCATTCAATCTGGTTTCTGGTTTGTTATAAAACACACAAAACAGATCTTTTTCACATATTGAAAAGATAAAAAATGACTGTGCAATGAGGCAGACAGGTTTGATTAGAGGTTTACAATACTCTGCTTTATCTGTGGTCAGTCTTTTTTCTGCATACATGAGTGCATCTGTTTCAAACTAGAAAGTAGATTGTTACTCGCTGTATCCATTGTTTTTCCTAAGACTGATCTAAGGTTCTGTGCTTCTCTAGCATTTTTGGCAGTACTACAAAGGTTCTCCCTGAACAAAAATGATGTTTAAGTTCTTGCATTACAGGAAGCCTCCCTGGAACCCTTGAGCATAAAAAGAGACAATCTTGCTGGATTAGAGGTCTGGAAATGTGCTCTCTAAATACATTAGTAAGTAATCCCTACTTTTATATCTTCTAAAATAATGAACGATTAAGTCCAACAGTCAATATTTGATAATATATGTGTGTAATAAAATATTTTTATTTTAAGTAAGTTCATTGGTACAGTTTAGATACACATCATGATCACATTCATCATATGGGATTTGTACTTGCACATGATATATCTTTTTTTTTTTTTGTATTGGGGATCAAACTGAGGTGCTTGTGCTTGCAAGGCAGGAGGCTGAACCACTGAGCTAAATCGCCGGCCCTGTGTTATATCTTAATTCTTATATTTTTTCCCATTTCCTTTCAACCTTTCTTTCTCTCCTTATTTGCAAAATAGTTTCTATTTTATCTTTCTTCTCTCATTTTTACCTTTTCTCTTTCTTCCTTTCCCCTCCACTCCAGTGCACCTTCCTACTAAATTTTTCTTATTTCGTGTTATTTATTATGCATTTTAGTCCTTTCTTTTACATTTTCAGTTCCTCACACTAGAGAAAAAAATGCGACATTCCCACATGTGTGCCCAATTTGTTTCACTTAGGAATATGGTGTCTAGGTGCATCCATTTAGCTATAAATGTCTTAAATTCGTCCTCCTTTATGACTGAGTCTTACTCCACTGGATAAAAAATACTCCACATCTTCTTTATCTATTCATTGGTTGATGGGCATTTGGATTGTTCTTGAGATTTAGCTATTATAAACTGTGCCACTACAAACATGGACAAGCTTGTATTACTGTGATATGATGCTTTTAATTCTTCTGGGAAGATACAGAGAAGGGGGATAGCTAGGTCAAATGGAACCTCTAGTCCTCATTTTTTGAGGAATCTTCACATTGATTTTCACAGTGGTTGTACCAGTCTACACTCCCACAAAGCAACCCCGCCAGCATTTGTTATTGGTTGATTTCTTGAAAACAGCCATTCTTTCTGGAGTAAAATGGAATCTCAGTGTTGTTTTGATTTACATTTCTTGAGTGACCAGTAACGTTGAGCATTTTTTCATATATTAATCTGCTGATTGTACATCGTCATCTGAGAAGTATGTATTCTTCTCAGATGAGCGTTTTTATATTGGGTCTTTAAATTTGGAGGGTTTGATTTTTTTTCCTGTTCTTTATATATTCTAGGTATCAGTTTTGTTTTGTTTTTTTGTTTGAGGAACAGCTGGAAAAAATTTTTCCCACTCTGTGGGTTGTCTCTCCATTTCATTGGTGATTTATTTTGCTGTTCAAAAACTTTTTAATAAAATGAGATCCCAGTTGCTGATTCCTTGTTATATTTCCTGTGCAATCAGGATTTTGTTAAAATAAATCTTTACCTATACCTATGTCTTCAAGAGTTCTGCATGTTTTCTCTTCCAACAGATTTAATGTTTCTATTTTAATATTTAGATCTTTGATCCATTTTGATTTCAGTTTAGTGCATGGTAAGATACATGGGTTTAGTGTTAATCTTCAGCATGTGGAAAGCTAGTTTTCCCAGCAGTATTTATTAAAGAGGCTATCTTTCTTCCATTGAAGGTGTTTGGCCCCTTTGTCAACAGCAAGGTGGCTGAGTGTGTTTGTTTCTGCATCTTTTAATGTATTCCACTGATCTTCAAGTCTGTGTTTTTGCAAGTACCATGCTTATTCTTTTTTTTTAAATCACAATAGCTCTGTAGTATAATTTCAAGTCAGGAATTGTGATGCTCTCTGCCTTGCTTTTATTGTCAAGAATTGTTTTTGCTACTCTGGGTCTTTTCTGGTTCCAAATAAATTTTAGAAATGTTTTTTCTAGTTTTGTGCGGTGTGCTATTGGTATTATGATTGGGATTACATTAAATATGTATAGCAATTTTGGAACTATGGCAATTTTTGCTATGTTTGTTCTTTCTACCAAGGAGCAAGGAATATTTTTCCATTTTCTGATATCCTCTTTGATCCCCTTTTCCATAGTACTGTAATTTTTGATGTAAATATCTTCTACTTCCTTTGTTTGATGGATTACTATTTTATGTTTTTTCAATGCTATTGTGAAAGATGTTATTTCCCTAATTTCTTTCTCAGTAAGTTTGTTACTTTTGTAGAAGAATGCTATTGATTTTTGAGTGTTGATTTTGCATCCAGCTATACAGCTGAATTT